CCTGCTTACTTTGGCCAAGGAACCAAACTGACAGTTTTAGGTAAATATTCCCCTTTAATACTGTGTTTTGATTAATTGCACATTGGTTTAAGCCTTAGTATTGACAAAGGCTTCATTAAAGAGTTTTCAGAGATAAATCAGGTAGATTCTTACTCAGTATCGCTGCTCTCTTACAACATCAATTAAGCTTACTTTGGAAAAGGAACAAAACTCGTTGTTTTAGCTGAGTGAAGATTGATTGAAATGAGACAAATAAAACAACGCGTTAATTTCACTGTTAGACTTAAACTACAATCATAATGGAAGAAAAACCTGATGTGTTAAAAAATATCTGTGTTATTGAGCTGAACTCAGAGCACTGTGAACTACAATGAGCCTGCTTACTTTGGAAATGGAACCAAACTGACAGTTCTAGGTAAATATTTCATTTTAACACTGTGTTTTGATGAATACACATTGATAGAGTAAGGAGTTTTCAGAGATAAATCGGGTCGACATTCTTGCTTAGTTTTGCTGCACTGTGACAACATCAACGAAGCTTACTTTGGAAAAGGAACAAAACTCACTGTTTTGGGTAGGTTGGAGATCTTATGTGTTCAGTTCACTGTGTTAGAATTAAACAAGCAGAGAAGGTGGAATAGAAATGGTGTAAAGACCTTTTAAAACAACACACATTATTGAGCTGAACTTAGAGCACTGTGACCAACACTCAGCCTGCTTACTTTGGAAATGGAACCAAACTGACAGTTTTAGGTAAATATTCCCCTTTAATACTGTGTTTTGATGGATTATACATTGATGTAAGTATTGACAAAGGCATCAGTAAAGAGTCTCCAGCAAATAATCAGGTAGAGAAAGAGATTCTTGCTCAGTATTGCTGCACTGTGACAGCAACAGCGAAGCTTACTTTGGAAAAGGAACCAAACTGACTGTTTTAGGTAAATATATGCCTTTAATACTATGTTTTGATGGATTACGCTCTAACTCAAACCTGTTGGAGCTCTTGTGTGTCCAGTTTACTGTATTAGACTTAAACAAGCAGAAATGTTGGCGTGAAAATGAAGGAAAAAACTCACGTCAAAACATTTGACATTATTGAACTGAACTCGGAGCACTGTGAACTCCGGTCAGCCTGCTTACTTTGGAAAAGGAACCAAACTGACAGTTTTAGGTAAATATTTCATTTTAATACTATGTTTTGATGGATGATACTTTGGTAAGAAGCTCAGTTTTGACCGTCACAAATCTGGTAGAGAAAGAGATTCTTGCTGAGTTTTGCTACACTGTGACAAACCAGCGAAGCTTACTTTGGAAAAGGAACCAAACTGACTGTTTTAGGTAAATATTTCATTATAACATTATGTTTTGGTGGATCACACTTTGATATGAGCGTTAGTGTTGACAGTGAGGCATGAGTAATGAATTTTCATTGATAAATCAGGTAGAAAAACAGATTCTTGCTCAGTGTTGCTTCACTGTGACAATCGTGAAGAAGCTTACTTTGGAAAAGGAACCAAACTGACTGTTTTAGGTAAATATCTAATCATAAAACTGCGTTTTTAGTGGATAACACTTTGATTCAAGCATTAGCATTAAGAAAGATGCAATAGTAAATAGTTTACAGTCGTTAATCTGGTAGAGAAAGAGATTCTTGCTCAGTTTTGCTGCACTGTGACGATCGTGAAGCTTACTTTGGAAAAGGGACCAAACTGACTGTTTTAGGTAAATATCTCATTTTAATGCTGTGTTTTTGATGTATTACACTTTATTTCGAGCGTTAGTATCGAGACAGATGATATAGTAAATAGTTTTCAGTCGTTAATCTGCTAGAGAAAGGGATTCTTGCTTAGTACGGCTGCACTGTGACAATGCCAACGAAGCTTACTTTGGAAATGGAACCAAACTGACTGTTTTAGGTGAGTAAAGAGTGATTAGAATAAAAATATCTGAACAAATGCTTCATGTAACACAATGAGACATGCCTTAAATTGGTAGCTGTAGTTTAAGACCAGCTAAGTGGTTTTTCATATGAGGCTGCAGCTCTGTGCCAACTATGAAGCTTATTTTGGACAGGGCACCAAACTGACTGTTCTGGGTGAGTAAGACCTCAAAATTTCTCCTCATTGACTCCCATCTAAAATTACAAGTTACGGCAGTCATCAATATGGTGTTTTTTGTTTTTTAATAGAAAGTTTGGTGTTGCACCATACTTGTAAAAAGCAGCCTGTACCTAAATATATATTGATTGAGGAATGAGAAAATGAAGTAGAATGATCACTAAGAAGCACTCAAAAGGCAAAGAAGCACAGTCAAAGCAACATCTGGGGCTAATTTGAGCACTGATCGTGTTCACTGTGACTCTGGTGTCAATGAAGCTCACTTTGGTGGAGGAACTAAGTTAACTGTTTTAGGTAAGAAAACAATTCAGATTATAACCAGTACTGCTTAACATGACAATCGTCAAATAATTGTTGAAATGAAAAAAGGAAATAGAAGGCACTAGAAGGCACAGAGGCGATGTAAAATCAGAATGTTGGGCTGTTTTAAGCACTGATCATGTTCACTGTGACTCTGGTGCAGCAGAAGCTCACTTTGGTGGAGGAACAAAGTTAACAGTTTTAGGTAGGAAAACTTATTTCAAGTGCAAACCTGTGTGTTCTGAAAAAAAAAAATACTTTTCTTGATTGAAGTTCTTCTTGTTTTTAAGCCTAAACTGTAGAATGAGTTAAAAGAGATTATTTGTTTCTAAAAAGTAAAGAAAAGTTTAACTGGCTGCTGCCTGAAGTTTTAATTTTATGGGGGGAAATAATCATGCTATTCCATGAAGGAACAAATGTTTTAGGTAAGATACATATTGTATACAGTCCTTAGAAAGCTCAATAGGAATAAATCTGAAAAAACTTTTGAAAAGTTCCATGTTACAATGGATCTTTGACAAACTTTTAGATCCTTGAGCTCTGGTTAACTTCAGTGTTTTTTGCTGTGACGCATGAACACTGTGTCAGTACGAAGCTCATTTCGGTCAGGGAACAAAACTGACTGTTCTTGGTAAGTAAAACATCCTAAATTCTTACGATGATTCCACTGACATGGCAAGTTGAAACGTATCCTGTTTCTTATTACGACTGTCTTTTTGTATTGTATACCACTTCTAAGAAAACTAAGCTAATACAGAATAGAAGCAGTTGGATTATATCCAACCAAGAAGTCAAATCAGCTGACAAAGCGTTTTGAGCACTGATCATGTGCACTGTGACACTGGTGGCTCAGAGGCTTACTTTGGAGAAGGTAAGAAAACATTTCAAAGATTATTAAATGTTACCTATAGATTTCTTAGCAGACCAAAATGTCCTAAAAATCAACCGATGGTGTCTAAGGACAACTATGGAGGGATTAAGAAGTACCAGATATAGAACAGAGGCAGCACAAAGAGTCTTTGCTCCAGCATTTATGACCAAATAAATGGACATTTAGTTTGATATGTGTGAACAAAGAGTATAAACCCAATCATCTCAAAAGCTGAAAATGCAGAAAGTTGTGCGCGAGAAAAAACAAGTATTCCTCAGGAAAAGGTTCTCAGCTATAACACTTTGGCTCTACGCCCAGATAATGAACCTCTAAGTCAGTTCTTATCGGCTCTATGAAGCACTGTGAACACTCAGTCAGAAGCTTACTTTGGAGCTGGAACTAAACTCACGGTTTTAGGTAAGACGGCAAAGAATTTTCAGTTTACTGTTTAGTCTAGGTCGAATCTGGTCGTTGGAACCCGATTTGGTTTGGAACAGTCTTGGTACTTCTGTAAAATAGAACGCAGACAGCCCGCAGCTGTCGTTGCTGCAGCAGTTTTTTATCCAGCTGTGTGTCAGTGTGAGCAACTATGACCCTGCTTACTTTGGCAGAGGAACCAAACTGACAGTGCTGGGTAAGAAAACCATTCAATCTTTTCTTTCTTAATGTCTCTGCGACCTGAATCTGCCAAACTGCTGTTGAGTAAATAATAATATAATGTACTATTC